AAAAAAAATTCAAGGAGAAGAGGTATAAAAGGTTGGAAAGGTCTTTCTATAGCTATCTGAGAGTCAAATTTCCTAACTAAACGCTTGACAGCTGAGACTAGCCCTTGGTACTGAAGAAAGTTTGTATGGATATGGAAATTAAACTGAAACTCCTCAAGTGAATAGAAAGTCAAGCTGTCAGAATTTTTAACCAGGTCATTTACTGTAAATATTCCTGCCTCAAACCAATTTCGATAAAAAATAAAATTATTACCCACTTGAATATCTTTGTTATACCATAGGGGAGTTTTTAACATTGATTCACTTCTACTGTAGGTTTGTCTCATAAATTTGGAATTATTCAGTCTAACCCATCCTTTAAAAACATCCTTCCAAAATGGGTTAAGACAGGTATTTACACATGTCATAATGTATTCTTTTCCACAATTAATCATTTTTTTAGGATCCAAAATTAGATTCAAAAGCTGATTCCATTTTCCAGATGGCTGGAACAGTCTTCTAATCCAACCTAGCTTAAGAGAATCTATAGAAGCATGTACATCAATCATCTTTAATCCCCCATTTATATAGTTTTGAATCACAACTTCTTTTTTAATCCTATGACTTTTGCCATTCCATAGAAAATTGAATAACAAAGAATTCAACTTAGCAATATATTTTTCGGATGGATTTGGCAAAGTGATAAACAGGTAATTAAGTTGGGAAATCAACAAAGACTTTATGATACTAATTCTACCTAATGGAGTCAAACTCCGTCTATTCCAATTATTAATAAGAGCTTTAAGTTTAACAATCTTTTTGTCAAAATTCATTCTTGGAATCTCACTTAAATCTACGGAAAAATCTATACCCAAAAAGTTGAACTTATCCTTCCCCCATTGTAGATGCAAGTCTGGATTTTGTTTATGATGTACATAATGTTAAAAAAAATATTGTACTTTTCAATCTCTTTTTTTACAGCATCAAATTGAGCTGGGAAAGGGTCTATCTGAAGCCAATGTGTTCGACGTGACAAGTTTAATCAAACAATTTTTCCGCATGCTGCCAGAACCTCTGTTCACCAGTACCTACCATGACACATTCATCAAATGTTTCCAGCTTGTAAACACAGAGGTTTCCCACCAGGCTGTCCTCCTACTCTGTCTCCTTCTACCAGGGGAGCACCTCTGTACACTAAGGTCAGGGCTCACAGTTTAAAGTCACATTCCAAGAGATGAAGCCAGTTGGAAAAAAATTGTTCACTTGTAAAATAAGTATAGATGATCTAGTTGTCCGATATTTTTGTGTGCCAAGACTTGGGAAAGACTGGCCCAACTTTACTCTTTAACTGTTGTGGTAAACAAAATGTGTGTCAAGGAAAAAACAAATCAAAGTGATTTTTGTCTGCCCTCCCAAATGTTACTTGATAAAACAGTATTTAAATGTAATTACAGCTTTCCCTGCTCTAGTTTTTCATTTCACACATCTATCTATTTTATAACAGGATTGGAATTTGTTATGAAAATTGTTCTCCTTTTTAGGTCACCTGAGCTTTAGCTCAAGCGACCTATTGCTATCCATCTTCATCCGTCGTCCGTTAACATTTTACATTTTCACCTTAAGCTGAAATACTGGCAAAGGGATTTCATTAATATTTCATGGGAAGGTTACTGACATCTCCCTGACCAAGTGTTGTTATTTTTCAGGTCAATTAGAAATCCAATATGGCTACCACGGCTGCCATTTTGAAAACTAATTCAAACTTAAAGTTAAGTTCTGCTGGGCCGATTGAACTGAAACTTGGTAGGAATGATCAACTCATGGTCCTGACAAAGTGTTGTTATTTTTCGGGTCAATCAGAAATCCAATATGGCCACCATGACAGCCATTTTTGAAAACTATTGCACTCTATAAATCTGTTGGTGAACGGTTAATTTGGTCCGTCACCACTGTCTCTCCGCGCAAAAAAAAAGAACAGTAGAAAAGCAGAGAGACAGTGGCGACGGACCAAATTAACCGTTCACCAACAGATTTATAGAGTGCAATGTCGGCTAGTTGGTTCACTACTCTTTCAGTCAAAGAAGGCTTATTATTTGGAAATAATCGAAGAATGCTGCAAGGATAATAGACAGCTTTTTAGACTCACCAAAAACCTAATGGGATAGAAAGGTGAAATTATCCTACCAAGCTGTAACTCTGAAAAAGACTTAGCAAGCAAGTTCAGTGATTACTTTCTGAATAAAATCAGCTCAATCAGGAAAAAAATTGCTGAAGTGAACACCGCTGCTGACAATGATATCTCTGTCATTATTGCTGACATTGAATTTGATGGGGAACCATTGACAAAGCTCTCACCAACAACCCAGGACGAGTTGTGCAATATCATCAGGACCTCGCAATCGAAGTCCTGTGAGCTTGATCCACTGCCTACAAACCTATTAAAGCAATGTCTTGAAGCACTGCTTCCTTTGATTACCTCAATCATGAACAAATCATTGGCTGAGTCAAAGGTTCCATTATGTTTCAAGAAGGCTGGAATGGACATGGAGGAGTTGAAGAACTACCGCCCAGTATCAAATCTTCCTTTTATGTCTAAGATCTTGGAGAAGATTGTGTCCCAGCGTTTAGAGGTTCATCTCCATGCAAACAGTCTCCATGACAACATGCAATCAGCCTACCGCATGGGACACTACTGAGACGGCCATCCTACGTGTACATAATGACATAGCTTCTTCATTGGATAACATGTACAGAGCGGTGCTTGTCATGCTGGACTTGTCATCTGCATTTGACATCATCGACCATGGCATACTTTATAATTGTCTGGGGTACTCATATGGAGTGACTGATACCGCACTATGCTGGATAGTCTTGTCTTAGTGAACGGCGACAGTGTGTTGCATTCAGATCTACCACCTCACATGACAAAGTACTAGATTTCGAGGTTCTTCAAGGGTCGGTGTTAGGACCACGAAAATATTGTCTGTACTACAAAACGATTGTAGATATTTGTTGTCGCCATAGCCGTCACTATCATTGCTATGCTGATGACACACAAACTTACATGGTCATCAAACCACAGGACAGTTGGGATACAATTTCAAAAAATCTGGATGCTTGTCTGACAGATATCAGTACCTGGATAAATGCCAACATGCTAAAGCTTAAATGGGAAAAGACGGAATTAATCGTCTTTTCCCCAAAACGTCGGCAAACAATGACTCTTCAGCTCAAGGTTGGTGCCATAACTATTGAGACTGTCCCAGTTGTTAAAAACCTGGGGTATAATTTGATAGTTCACTGAACATGGAGAAACAAATGAACACTATTGCCAAATCCTGTTACTACCAGATCAGGAACATCGGCTGTATTCGGCAGTTTATAACTGCAGATGCATGCAAGATTTTGGTGCATTCACTTGTTACCTCTCGGTTGGATTATTGTAACGCCCTGCTCTGGTATATCTGACAAACTAACTAGTCGTCTGCAGAGGGTCCAGAACACTGCAGCACGGCTGGTAACTCGTACTCGAAAGAGAGAGCACATCACAACTGTGCTATATGCATTGCACTGGTTACCTGTACAATACAGGTTGCGGTACAAAATTTTGGTGTATACATACAAGGCACTGAATGGAACAGCTCCCCAGAGCTTGTTACCCTGTATCAGCTGTCACGTTCACAGCGGTCGTGGTCAGAATCGTTGTTGTGTGTCCCAAAATCTTGTACTGTGACCTACAGAAACAGATGCTTTGGTAGGGTTTCGGCCACATTGTGGAAGAGCTTACCATCTGCTATTAGAAAGTCAAATACCCTGGCCAAATTCAAGAGGGACATCGAAACGAGCCTCTTCACGTCTGCATTTTAGTCTTTTTTGAAAAGACATCATGAAAATACCACCCTTTATTTGTTCATTTATGTGCACATTGCAACGATTATCTGCTTACTTAAATGTATAAAGTGATTGTAAGCCTTTGTTATTATTTCACAATTATAACTTATACTATTATCCAAATGTTGTAAAGTGCTTGAGAGTAATTTTACAAATGATATAGGGCGCTATATAAATGTTGTATATTATTATTATTTTGCATCTTTCTGTTGTACACAGTTAAGGAGTAAAACTTGGGATTTGTTTAGTTTTCTAACGCATTGTATATAAACAAAATGAAGCAAAATATGAAAATTTGTTTTGCAAGATATGTGTACAATGTGACTTCAACAATATATGTAGGTAGGATCTAGCCTGTGGTCATTGTATAGACTCTTATCATTACGTTGATTGAAGGTTTACGATGAAGCTTCTGTCCGACATAGCCAGCCATTCGGACAAGAACAAGATGGACCCCACAAACCTGGCTGTCGTCCTGGCACCTAACATGATGCACATTAATAATAAAAGTGAGAAGATGAACTCATCAGAGGAGAAGCTACTCCAGGTTAGTCTTGTTATTATCTAGGTTTTGTGTTGAGATGATACTGAATAGAAGAAGAAAACTGAAGAGACTGTTTTCTCTCTGTTTATTTGTTCAGATTGTGTAGATACGATATCAAAGAGAGTTTTATTGTGAACAGTTCAGAATGCTTGTTAATATGAAAACGAAACAGACCTCTTATTCATGAAACCATACCATGCCCATACATAATTTTTGTGCTCAAACCAATTTTCTCGCTAATCACTGAAATCATGCAATAATTTCTTCCAAATGATATTTAAAATATATGTGAAATGTATTGCTGGAACAAGGCATAATTAGACTCGTGAAGTTGACATGAACACACCATGAGAATGGTTACTTTAATATGGACGCTGATATCAAGAATATCTTACCGAAACGTAACTTGATCGGCGATTCTCTGGCAAAGGAATTGGCTAAACTTTCTTTGTTAACGGTTACCTATTTAATAACACTTTTCACATAAACTCAGGTAACAACACAGTATGTATCAATTGTATCTTTTATTGATGTTTGACATAAATATATGTGTTGATCGTTGTTTGTCTTTGAGTTCCGTGTACCAAGGGAGAAGATCTCGTGTCCAAGATGGCGGTCTGCCAGAATTGTCAATCTTTTCATGAAAAAAAATTGAAATTGCTTACGCTTGTGTATTCTGCGCATCCCCCACTTTGGGTATTAAATTTCTCAAAAACAAAGTGCTCAAATTCCACAAGTTTTTACGGTACTTAAAACACATAGAATTTTTTTCAGAACAAATATAAATGAAGGTAGGGTGGTGCATGGATATGAATCAATTCTTTATCATTTAAATAGTTACAATTATTAGTGCCAGTCCTCTTTGGATCCTGGTTCGTTTCCCCAAAATACTGTTGTAAATCCCGGGTCATTCTAACTTGTGTTGTGGTATGTATTATTATTATAAATGTTTGTTCCCTTACTCTAGGTACAGACATCCATCGTGGAGTTGTTGATTAGGAATGCAGAGAGCGTGGGTATGATCTCTGACAGCCTCCACGAGAGGGCATTGCTGATGACTGAGGTTTTTGGAACTGACGATGAACTTGATGTGACTGAAGACACACTAGAGGATTCAAGGGATTGTCGGAAAAAAGAAAAGAAAAGGAAGCGTTCTGGGTCATTTCAAGGTAACCAGAGTCCAAAATGGCTGTTATAGATATGAGGCTATTAAAAAAAGACTGGGCTATCACATCAGTGCTTAATGACTTGTGACCTACTGCTTTGACTAAATAGAATTTTTATTTTCATTTTAAGTGAGAAATAACAACTTTGTGCTGAAGGTGCATGATTGTATTAATTAGGAATTTTTGAATTGTTGGAAATTAAGAAGCTGACATAAATGAATAAATTAAACCCATAAAATGATACTTACCTAAAATAAATACAAATTTAAACCTGAATATTTCACTCACTGGTGACATTGTGTTTAATTAGGAATTTTTGAATTGTTGGAAATTAAGAAGCTGACATAAATGAATAAATTAAACCCATAAAATGATACTTTCCTAAAATATATACAAATTTAAACCTGAATATTTCACTCACTGGTGACATTGTGTTAGGATTATGTGTAAATGATAGTTTGATTGTGAACAGGCCTAGTGAGTACCATTGCACAGAGTATCACCAAGTGGAGGAAGAGTACTGACGGGAAGGCTGGTAATCTGAGCCAGGCCAGTAACATGAGTCATACCAGTGCGTACAGCAACATGAGTCATGCCAGCATGGCCCACGACCAGAGTTCTATGGCCCATGCCCCTCCGAGCCTGCCAACAGATGCAGAGTGTATGGCTACACCTGTTGTCATAAGGAAGCGCAAGGCCTCCGGAGAAATGCTGCCTTTTTCTGCTCACAAAAAGTAATTTCATGGTTTTATGTCTTGATAACAATTAAATGCATTTCAATAAGAGTTGCTGGTTGTTACTGTTCATTATAATCTGATGATAGATACAGAAAATAGATGTTAATCACTGATTTGTTTTTGCAAGGTGAATTTGGGCTGGTATAAGGCTCCTCCTCCTGGATAATTTCTGCTTTTTGTATGCTACACCTCACACGATCACACAACACAGGCCCCTTTGAAAGAGAGGTTGAAAAATCACTGATGAATAATTTTTAGATTATTGAATCTGCTTTTATAAAAACTGATGGTCTTGGGGGAGAAAGTAAAAATAAGATCTGGATCCAAGCTCATGTATGTATGTACATGTATTATAAATGAAAAGGAGGTCTGATCCACATTTCGGACATTTTTCAAACGGTTTCATTGGGCAGGTTCCAATAAGTATGTAAGTTTAAATCGTTATGTATATGCTTTAAAAATAATTTGATGGGGAAACTGTTTACGTTTAAAAAGATTTGACTGATGTTATATTGTACATTTCAGGAAGGCTATCCTCCAGAACCTGCCAAACCAGGCTACACTGGCCAACACCCCATTTACTCCCGCGTCGGGCGTCAGGAGGATGGACATCAATGGTGTGTTACTGTCTGAGTGTCCCTACCCAGGTGTAATGTGTTTGTGTCTATAAAACATCACATTCTGTCATCCACAATAAAATTCATTTTCTGATATTTTTGTACATTCAATTTAAAGTTGTTCAGCTGTGTCTTATATTTACTACAGCAGTATTTTGAAATCGAGAATCTTTTTAATCTTGTACATAATTAGAGCACTAAATAATTTTGTACAAAAGTACTGTTTGCCAACACGTGTAATCATTTACTCATTGAAAACCTCTTGACAAATGTCTTTGTTGTAAAGTTTCTGTTTTTTCATATCTTCAACATCCAAGGGTTTTGCTCTCCATATATTTCCTGCATACTTGGATTTTTTATGATAAAATCAAGGCCATTATACACCCCACCTTGCGTGTGATACAAGTTCAGTAGGGTTTTCAACATAATCTTGCTATTAAACTCGTAATCTCAGATACAGTAAAATACAGTTATAATGAATTCCAATGGACAAACTTTATCACTTTGTTATAAAGGTAGTTTGTATTACGCGTATAGCAAATTCTTATGCCCCCACCATAAAATGTTAGATTCTCAGTATGTTCCTATCATTACATAGAAGTAATAGGGAGATGAGCTGGGGAATCAGAATCAGTTACCAATTCACAGGAAACGACACAATAAGTTTGTTCGTACAAAACATGTTTTACTGTACATGGTGGTTTTTTTAATGCGATGGCCTGATCTTGTAGAGATGAGGAGAACGGGTACCCTCAACACACCTAACATCGCCTTCAGTAGTAAGGAGCAGCTCGCCTTCAGTGCTACACCCAGCCAAGCAGGAAAGAACACCAGAAAGCGTCTGAACCTGTTCAGTCCTAGTAATGGTCGCAAGGGCAAAAAGTAAGTCACAATCACACGTATGTATCGGGGAACGGCTATTGTATAATCAGTAAAGGAATGTATGGTGCGCGGTAGAATATGGTTTTAACACGTGGTGTAGGACATATATAAAATTAAAATATTTGGATTCAAGGGATTCATAATTAACTTTCTAACATTTTAACCATCCAGCTGTCGTGTATAATTGTTTTTGCTGGACACATTAAATTAGTTGGAATGCTGAAAATAGCCATGTCTTATCAATAACCTATTGCAGCAAGTGTTGTTTTATTGGGGGTTGGAGGGGCTAAATGACAGTAATGTATGAAAGTCAATAAATATATAGCAAGTGTAAGTCCTATGCTGCAACTTTACTACAAATATATAACTTATACTGTCTCAGTGTGTACTATTTAGTGATGGCATGTTGGTGAAAAGGCATCTGCTTGCTCAATTTCTGTATTATATATTTTCTTTATCAGTTTAATTTTCAAAATCTGAATTTGTAAGCTAGCATTTGGCACGTTTAGAAATCCATGAAAGATGATTATTTGTAAGGATGAATAGAGAACTGTTAACATAAATCAAACTTGGAAATCTTTAATTCACATAGTCACTTAAAAGTCCTGATTAAAAAAGCAACTTGAATAGTTACTGAAACTTGAAGCTGTAAGAAATAGCACAGAGAAATGGACAAGTTAATACAGGGTGAAAGTTGCTGTAGGTTCAAAGTTCAGTATCAAACATTTGGTGAAGGAGGAAATAGTGTCGCATAACTTACAGAACTAATCCATGTTAACAGATATTATATAGTAAGGGACATGATGTTCAAAGCTCTGTGACCTTTATAATCATTTATTCAAGCAATTATAAGTTGCATGTGTTGGCTGTAAGGATTATATCATGATTGCAGGAAAAATATACACACAGCGTTTCAGTGATCATAACAGTGCCTGACAATTTCAACAATGGCCTGCTCCTTTGTCAAAAGAAGATCAAAGCTTCATTATATTATTACAACAGTAATCTTTACATAGCCATAATGTAAAATACAGTCATTAGTTACAAAAATGTTTTATATGGCTTATATCTTAGACCTCCAGATCAACAATAGTCAATACATCTTGTATGTAATAGAAACCCAAATTACATGTGACAAATGAAAACGATCCTTTTATGCAATCTATTGCCCAAAAGTACTTTGACCATAAATACCAGAGACTCGGGCAACTACACCACTTCCTCAAAAAAGGAATCTTCCCAGCAGTATCACAGGGAGGTTGAGAACAGTATCATAACAACTTGAACAGGACCTGTCAACATTGACACTACCAGTTAAATGACTAGTGCTGAATCAGAGCACTACTGCATCTAACTTCAAAAGGTTTCAGTACAAATATGATGTATATATCTTCTCTTCGCTTCTGATGATAACAAAAATTACCACATACTAGAATCGGTTGCTGACAAACAAAAATTCACTTTTTGCTCACATGTGGATGATACCTGTGCACGTGGTGATCCACTCACTACACAGACATTATTTATAAGTATATTATAGGAGGCTTTAATAGAAAATATAGACTACATTCGTAGTTGAATGCATAAAACCTACACATGCAGTTTGCTTTGAATTTCAGCAGTAGGTAATAAATATATTGGTATGATAAATGGTGACGAGGCTTTGATGAACCTCTGGGCTAACCTGTATATATAAACCAGTTGACCGTTGTTTTTATTTGTCACTCCCTTTACAGGCTTCCCTCAGGTTCCAATATATCCATGTCGGCTGCCAACAAAAAGGGCAAGTGTAAGGGTCTGTTTCGCAGGCTCTCCGGAGGAAAGGGGGACAAGGTACTCTCTACCCTTACAGTTTGTACTCTCACCTTTACTAAACTAATACAGTATATGTATTAATCTTCATCATTTCATATACAAATATATTCTTAATAACCAACATTATTACATCGTACATTTGATGCATGCTGTTAAAATGCATACCTTCATTCTAAGATTATTTTATTTTGTGTGTATGATTTGAATGATACATTATAGCAAAATATTGCATTTAAAAAGTGGAAGACCTTGTAAATCTTGTGGTCTGTATACTTGTATTTCATATCTGATATCCTATAAATAGCAATTTATTATTAAAGCTTTATATGCAAGGTGATGTATGATTACTTGACAACTAAGCAGAACAATTAGAATTACCGCTTTAAACATGATCCTTTCAGTAGTAAACTAGTAATGTACTCTATTTGTGCCTGTCTAAATTCAATAGCATCCATCCATTCATAAATTTGAAGATGAGGAAAATATGTGTATATTTTATGAGCATGCTGCGCTCTGATTAATCGATGATTTCCATACAACAACTTCTTTAAATATACAATAATAGTCGACACTTTCCAAACCTGGAATGTAATTATATAAGTTCGACCAAGGGATGGCAAATTCTTTGCACACACAAAACTGGGTGTGGATTTGTATTTGGCCAATAGCCCAGATAATCTATTTAGTCAACATCAGTTCAAGCATTCACCTGGGCTCATATTGCTACCAGTATCTGGATAGAAAACTGCCAAACTAAGAAAAAGTACACCCAAAACTAAAATGCTGTTCTTTGCCAACAACAGGTTAAAACAGGCTTTATATTCCACACAAACACTCAAACAACCATGTCTAAATTTACACTTAAACCTGTCAGCGAACATTTGTTTTCCTTCTCTTTTCGCTTTCCTACTTTATGACCATTTTTGATTCCTGATTTTGACACTATGCTGTAATACATATGTACAGTACATTTGATAGAGTTGCTTCATAGCTTACAGATGGTCTGATTCCTAAGTTGGCTTTATACACATCGCATTAAATTCTGTTTGCATTTTAGCAATGACCTGATGGTCAACCTCCACAGACTTCTGTGCTTTTAAAATAAATTTAAGAAATAATGTGTATCTGTGTTTCAGCAGCTACCTGAACGTCCTAGATCTACACAGGCAAGACAGGTTGGTCAGAGACTAGCCGGTCCTCCAGGAGGCAAACAACACAGCAAGCCACACAAACAGGATACCAGTGAGACGGACAACACTACCAGCAAACCTCCGGCTACATCTCAGGGTCAGTCACCTATACGGGCCATAGTAGACCAGTCGGTCCTTTCTCCCACTCTACCAGAGCAGTCTGTCCTGTCGGTGACTGAGGAGGACGCCAACTCCCTTAACGAGGGTTTTATCGACGAGGATGGAGATATGTCAACTATGAGTGCTAATGTTTCGTGTGGGGATGATAATTCTGACCTGCTGCCTCGGTCTTGTTTGTCTGACTCTGCTGTCAATGATATGTCCCGACATGAATCCATCAACGAACATCACCAACGATCTGTTTCCTGTAATCGGGATCATCAACTTCAGCGAAGAGGCACCCTGAGGCGTGGACGGCCAAATTCTCTTAAGGCTGGTCTGCTTCAGGGCGAAAAAGACAATATCATGAAATTGAGGCGAAGTTTTGGCCTGGATAAATCGGAGATTGGTGAGCCAGTGCCCCTCTATATACCTGATACATCAGGCTATGGGAACATGATTCAGCTTGGGGACAACTCTGGTGGAAGTCAGACAAACCAAGACAAGGAGGATAACTCCATGGATATTTCAGAACTGATATCAGAACAAAAATCTGGTATTTCAATCGTGTCAGATGAAAATACTGTCAGTAGTAACGATACAGAGGATGCTGCTGGATACAGGGAGTCACTTGATTCTGATTCTAAATCTCAGGGAAGTGACAATTCTTCTGCAGAGGAGAGTCATAAGAAAGGTTTAAACATTAACTCTAGTGAGAGCGTGGACAGCCTATTAAGTGGTCAAACAGATTCCTCCCCACCTTCACCAAAAACTGAAAAGAAAAACTTTCCAAGATCAATTTCCACTGACAGTGGGAAAGGATCCATGTTAGAGGAAATGGGTGTTTTAGAAAACACAGACAGTTCTAAAACTAGAACTGATATTGTGGTAGAAAGTCAGAAAGTCAGTACAAGTAAGATGGATGGTGAGCAGAGTTGTTTAGAACCAGCAGTAAATCAAACATCGTCGACCAAAAGAAATGATCAAAAGATAAAACGTTTTGTTTCCTCGTTAGATATGAAGACAATGACTGCTAGTGTAAGCAGGTCACAAAGCCTCCATGTAAGTTCTGTGTCCAAAAAAAATCAAAACCACACTCCAAATCTTCAGATTTCATCAGAGACACATAACCTGTTGTTGAGAGCAGGGTACTTGGGGACCAAACAGAAGGACACATCCAAGGAGGATGTTCAGGTGATGGGTCCACCCCAAACTATTCTCAAACATGCAGATACAGCCATCCCAAAACATGAGAGCATCATGGAGCTACAAACAAACATGACCGGCAAAGTGAAACACTGTGTGAAAAGTCTGGAGACAGATGTTGTTGACCGTCATGCCTCTCCGTATAGATTTGCCAATTCTGTGTCCCGCAAAAGAGGCTGCTCCCCTGTTAGGATACCAACAATTTTTGCTAAAAGCGAAAAGGAGGCTGCCATGATGAAGGACATTGTACAGGTAAACCCAAAGTTAGGGAAAGGTCAGGCCAGACTGCCAATCTCTACGCACCTTTTGAAGCCGACTGAGTCTGCAGCATCAACAGAGCAACAAAGGCCTCCTTCTGGTGCTTCAAGTCGGCTGTCCCGCAAGCCTAGTATCTACTACACAAAAGATCAGGACAGACCACACTTTAGTACATCAGTCAGAAAGACATCTGGTATAACAGAAGAGTCTATGGACATATCGGATATCACAGCTGTGAAGAATAAGGAAAACTCCAGCTTTGAGAATGAAGGTGATCACACACCGAAGGAGCTCAAACTCTGTGACTCTTTACAGGATACATTAGATGACGTCTCTACGCCTCTTAGTGATAAAAATGAACTATATAACTCCTTTGATCTGGATGCAACACCAACCAATGCCAAGTTTTCAAATGTCCCGGGCATCAAAATGCCCATCCTACCTGGCAATCTTGGTGAGCGGGTCCTCCTGAGAACATCTGGGGGACATACACCCCGCCACATTAACAGGACCACATCAAAGTCACCACGCTCCCCGATAAAACCAGTGAAACGTCTTGGATCCCCAGGATCACCCTGTCGTAACACACCGCGTAGACACACATCTCCGGGGCGACAGAACAGGGCGAAACTCAGCTCTATCCCTCACCACCTACAGGGGGATATGAGCAGTGTGTGAGCGAGTCTCTACAGTAGTGTCTGTGACGGGAGCTTGTTGTTGTGTAGAATCTCAGTCTTGCTTTGGTATTGTGGGAGCTTTAGATTTTACCAATTTGATACTTATTTTATTGGCTACATTCTGATACAGGGTTATATAACTTATAATATTGGAGTTTAATATAGGTGTGAGATGTAATTTAACAGACTGTGAAGTAGTCAGAGTTGGTTATGTTTGCACTATGGACATTGCCATACAATATAGAAAGTCTCTGCCTCTATAGAATCAGTGTATCATCTTGCTTGACATGCTGTTGAACTTGAGTTTAGACTTTCGTGTACTGAGTTTGTCTCTGGCTTAATATTAATGTTCTCAATGCTCACCAATTGGTAAACCATTCTCTCGTTATGTGACATTATATTTTATTGGTTGGACTGTTTAAATCATACTTTGATGGGAGTGTTCGGGTAATCCATAGGAGTACTGTTCACAGAAAGTATTATATAAACTTTTGTGCTTTTAGCTAGGAGTAAATTGAATGTGGTTTCCGTCTACTGTTTGGGAGTCTATGTTATGTGTGGTATTCGCCTTTTTGTCTAATTTCCTATAAGGTACTTGTTTGCCTTAATGTTTAACCTTTAGAGTATGAACATTTTTAATTGTTTCCTTGTATGTGTGCTTCTGTTTCTCGTTAACCATTAATTTTTATGTAGGGTATATTCAGCTGTAAAGTGGAATGTTTGTCATAAATATTGAAATGTATGCCGCGATGTTTACATACTCGATTTTTTATTTGATATGTTAGTGCAATCATTGTTGAACATATAACCAAACTTTGCTCAAGTAGAAAATGAAATTTCAAGACTTTAAAATAGGAACTTAAGGAGAAACTGGTCAATAAACAAGATTGTTACACATCTCTGTTTGTACTGAAATTGCTGCTGTGCCCCACTGACATAGTATTGTTTTACCAATATTTGTCGACAACAACCTATTTCCTTGTCTATCTGGGGTTTTTATAAGCCATGGCAAGTTGAACATGGCATTGGTAGGCTTTTTATTTGGCAAGTTTAGACCTATACTTATGTAAGTTATAGGAATTAGAGTTAACACACAGATGCATTGTACATGAAGATAAAAATTTCAACAAGGATTGTCTGAACTTTGTGTGAATTGTTTTAGCTCCGACTTTCTCTCCTCTAAAACTATCCTCATTCCTGTTTACTGTAAAATTGTAAATATATGTATCATTTATACTCCATGATAACTTCTACCAAAATAATCATGTTTTTCACAAACCTAATATTCTTCAGCATGGTTTTAAAATATTTTCAATTAATACAACAACAAAAACAGAGAAGTGATATGTATATTATACATGAAATGTTGTATCATAAAAAAAATCATGTTTATGATATCACCAGAGTTACGCTATACCACCATGCCAGTGTTACATTGACTAATTTGTTACAGAAAGACATATTCAGAATTTTTTGATAAATTGCAAATAACAAAATTAAACTATTTATTCATCAAATATATCGTCATTTGCCTAAATTGACAGTACATCTTTATTGTATTTGGAAAAAATGGTCTGAAAAATATGCTTTTATATACTTAAAGTTAGTGTACATATATGGCTTTAATTAGTAGTACATTTTATTTGAAGCATAATATCAAAATTGGTCTGAACTTTAAATGAAAATTGGATGTACATGTATGTAACAGATGATGTAATCATTAAAAAACAGTTGTGAAGCTAGAATTGTTGAACCAAACAGGATTTTCCGCACAATGTGCGCAACAAACTTCTTTGAACAGGTTAAGCTGAAGTTTTAGTCAATAATTCAGCAAACATTTGATAGGAATATTATTTGTGATACTTTTTCAAATGTGATGTAGATACTCAATGCTAAGAAAAGAATCATCAATTTTCCCTCAAGAATTTTGTTGTGTGAAATTATAAAGTCTGTTTTGTGTTGACATCATATTCTTGTGATATGGTAGGTGTGAATATCGATGACACACAATACTGGTTTTTCCTTCTGAGAAGGTTGTTGATACATACTGTAGTAAGAAAATGACTGACCTTCAAAATGCTGAAAATGTTATATTTTCTAGTCGTCTTGCCATTCTTGTTAAGTTTTTCAGTTTGTTCAGAAAAATCTGAAAACTGCAGAATATCAAATATCTTTAATGTCATGCTGTCAGGTGTGGTTTGTATGCCTTCCTTTATTAGTCATGCTTATTTTCGGAATGATCATAGATTGATTTCAAATTGATGAGCAATGGTGTATTTAATATTATGTGGTTCATATAGATTTCAAGGTGCTTATAACAAAACTGCTGCTTCTCGCCAATATGAAAACATTATAGCTACACTTACAAACGTCACATGCTGTTCGATTAACAATTCTTTTGATTTAACTCGGATAATGTTATAAACATTCTAGTCTAAATTTATGCATATCATGGATGACTTTTTAAGTATTCTGAGGTATGTCATTCATGAAATCAAAAGGTATTTAATATTTTATAAACTAATCAAAAATATTCATCCACTACAGATGTGCTCATAAATAGTACGAAAATAACTTTATACACAATCCATGTTCAACAGTTCAATGAAGTAGTCCAGTTGGCATGATTGCCTGTATAAATCTGTCTCATCATTTTTTTACACATTCTCACAGAAAAATAAATTCATTTAGGGAACCATATTATTTTGTCCGATGACGAGTATCTACTGCAGACGGTCTCTTTTAAACAATACTGCATCCTCATATTTCAACAGGATATCATTACTCCATCTGAAAAATGATACCAGTACTCCATCTGAAAAAAGAATTTTAGTCAAAACAATACTTCCTGGATGGGTTTTAGGTTGTTTAGTAACAGAATTTAGGTTATATTTTAATCGGATTAACCAGCAAGTACAGAGTACGTTTTTGAGTTAATTAACTTTAATTAAGACTGGTTTTACTTTTAACAAATCCTAATTACTATTTTTTCCAGCATTAAACTCAACCTTTTTAGCTGTCTGGTTTGTCTTCTCATATTATTTGAAATACTGTATACCAGGAAATATTTGTTGCAGTTTATCTTTCTCTTTATTCAGCCACCATATTGAAGGCAAATCTATCATGACAGCTAAGTACACATTATATTAAAAGAATTTCAGATAAAGGGCAAAATTTCCAGGTAAACAATCATTCAAATTTCACCAGTTAAACTCCTGTTGTATGGATACTGTGTCCTATTTGATCATATGTATTAACTCTGCTCTTTTGACAAACAACTTTAAATTTTTACATTGTTGGAATGGATTTTTTTTCTTGGGATTTCACCATAGAGATTTGTTTTACAACTATGTGTGATCCTTTAGCTAAATGAGTAATATGTTCTGTTTAAGAGTTTAAACTGTATTTACATAGGAGGAAAACACTGATTGTTATTTAGGTACTGTACCTAATTTTCTAAATCAGTTAACTTTTTTATTGCTCGTGAATTCAAACCAAGAAAAATCATCACTTGTGTGTTATTTTCAGCCAAAATAAATTGTGTTCTAGACAATGTAACTTAAATAGAGATAATCCCCGCTATTTTGAAGAACGGCTAAAAGCAGTAATACTCACTGAATTCAAACCATCCTAATTAAATGTACCAGTACTGACTGGATCTATCCTGCATTCCAGCTGGACTGTGAATCCCCATTACAATCACCATTATTTCGTGTGTAATCATGATATTTTAATCAAGAATCATACATTGCCTTAGCTGCCATACGATAATGTATTAAAATATATGCAAAAGTATCAATATTAGTCTTGTGTTTGTGTGTAAACCTTCTGATGATTCATTGTATCAAGAGAGACAGCGATTGACCTGAGAAATTTCTGTCTCCCCTCATTGGGCTTTGTACTGTCTGAACATGTTCGCCGTCTAATTTCAAGAGGATATCAAAGTAGAAAGGTGTTGATCAAACTAGACCAATGTGGTTATATTGGTCATCAAGGATGTGAGGGGCCTCTTATTAGCTCAGGATGACCTATAATCATCCTGCTTCGTCCGCCTTTCGTACACTTTCAACATTTTAAACTTCTTCTAAAGTTCCAACAGTGGCATTGAGCTGAAACTTGCCTGAGATGGTCCTGACCAAGTGTTGTTATTTTTTGGGTCGGTGCAAAATCCAAGATGGCCACCATGACCGCCATCTTAAAAAACACATTTGAAAATTCTTCTCAACTTCCACCAGTGGGATTGAGAATATTTCATTGAAAGTTGAAAAGTTACCATTCTCTCTGCTCAGTCTTTGTAGTCAGATGACCGTTTAGGCCAATGGGCCTCTTGTTTCCTAAAGAGTCCCAAACTAAACACAGAAAATAAAAGTATTTTTAACAGTTTCCCGGTGAATACCATAACTTTTTTTCACGAGTAGAATATCAGTATACTCTGTCATTAAAGTGATATACCCATACAGCATATGTGCAAAGAGCATAACATTACTACCTCAGCAAAATATGGTGCATCTTCCAAAGAAATTTACCATACAAGTTGATTTGGTGAAGTATTCAAGCAGCTGATGTTAAAAATCTAGTTTAACACAGTTATGTTTATTGTACAATGTGGAGGTCGGACAAAAACCCTTGTGAACATTTTAGCACGGTCTGATTTCCAAAAGCACCATATAGGTGCTACCTAAAGGCAAATGTTTGTGGAGATTCTACTGAATTAGTTTAAATCTAAACTATCACCAGATTAGGAGAATATATGTATAAAACAGGTATTACCTGGAGAGAGCTAGCTTTTAAATTGCAAAATAAATCATTATCAATACTGCAAAACTGTCCACCTGCCTAGATGGAGTTGGTGATAACATCTCAATGTACATTGTATTTATCTGTTTAACCTAGTAATGGGCGTGTCCAGTTTTTATTTTTGAAATGAAATTGTGTTATGATGATATATATTGAACATCTTTTTGTCAAAAGATTGACCTCATGATTCAAGAATGGCATCAAATCTTCAATTTTCCAAACATTGAATCATCCAAATTTTGTCCTCATAACGAGAATGTAAAAATTTAGTGTAAGATGGCGAAACAAGTGTCGAGGAAACGGCCCAAGTTTGATGTCATCCTGTCTAATCTGTTACAACTACAATATAACAACACTGTGTATTGTATATACAGGTTTGTACACATTTACATTTTATTGTTCTTGAAATGATAATTGCACATTGTGTTGGTAGTAACAATAGATTCTACATAATTATATAAATAGCTATACAAATAGTGTCCTCAACATTTACTGTGTTCTCCAGTTTAAATTGGGTACTGAAAGCCATACATCTTACAGGAACTTGTATTTGAAATTCATAATACGAACACTCAACATTCTAGAACTCAATGTCACAATACATCAATTATAGACACAGAACATGACAGGATATTGGACAAATAAATTTCACATGTGAATGAATGTTGATCAAACTTTATGAAAAACACCTTTTTAATAACCATTTCATTACATAATTTGTACATTGTACAGGAAAAAATATTTCGGATATCACTACTTCCTTTGTACAAATGATTTTAATAAAGCCCTCCCAATAGCTAGGCTAACAGAAACAGGTAGATGTGGGAACCTCATCACTACAATCAATATGCTCTGAAACCCTTTTCTTGTGAAGGAACTTAATAGACTTCAAGGTTAAACATTATTGATACAGTAGTAATGTTTTCCAGACACATGGTTCCAACCTATGACCAGTGAGTATTAACCAATGTCCCTGTGGATTATAGTTTGCCATTTGGGTAAACTTCACATTAAAATGAGAAATTATGTTTTTTTTTACATTTGAAAATTACCTTATATCCAACCTTCATAACAGTAAACCTTTGTCCATATTACAGTAAAACATGTTTATAACAAGAGGCCCAATGGGCCTGTATCGCTCACCTGGTATTAATCTCACACTTGTGACCTCAAAAGTGATCTAAAATAAAGCTACAGGCAAAATATCAGTATTTATAACAATAAGTCATTCAAAAGAACATGTTAAAAGATTTTAAAACATTTCACCCCTGTGACCTTGAAAGTCGAACAAGATCAATACGTTGAACAAATTTTATAGCCCTTCATCTCCGGATGCAACTTGCAAAATATCACTACCCTATCCTTTTATTTATTGAGAGTAGGTCATTTAAATGTTTATATATATTTGACCAAATGTGACCTTGAAAGTGGGTCAAGGACATTCAAATGAAAAAGCTTAATAGCCCTTCATCCAACCATGCTACTGGCTAAATATCAACATAATGGGCCTTTTGATTATTCAGAATATGTCGTTAAAGATTTTAAACAAATTTGACCCCTATGGAATATAAGTCAAAATCATTCACTTTAACAAACTTGGTAGCCCTTGATCCAAGCATGCTACTGACTATATATCAACATTCTAGGCCTCATAGTTATTCTTCAGAAGTTGTTCAAAATTTTTTTTTAACATATTTGACCCCTGTGACAGTGAAAATGGGTGAAGGTCATTCATTTGAACAACTTTGGTAGCCCTTCATCGTAGCATACAACTGACCAAATATCAACATCCTGGGCATTTTGGTTATTCAGAAGTTGTTGTTTTTTTTAAACATATTTGACCCCTGTGACCTTGAATATTCAAGGTCAATCATTTGAACAAAAATGGTAACCCTTCATCCCAGCATGCTACTGACCAAATATCAACATCCTGGGCCTTTTGGTTATTCAGGAAAAGTTGTTTAAATAAAGGTTTTTTAAGACAATTGACCCATATGACCTTGAATATGAGTGAAGGTTATTCATTTGAACAAACTTTGTTACCCTTCATCCCAGTTTGCTTCTGGCCAAATATCATCACCCTAGGCCTTTTGGTTATTAAAAAGAAGTTGTTTAAAGTAAAATATTGACGCCGGATGACGTACGCCGCCCTTCGGGCCAGGTGAGCTAACAAACCACTGGGCTCCTACAAATTTAGATAGCTGTAGTCAAAATTGTGGGAGTTTGATGTTAAGGAGATCATTATGACTTATTGAAATAATTTCTAGCAGTAAATGTTCTGTGACATACAGAATCAGAGATTCTCCAAAAAATTATTAGACAGAAAATCTACTTTTTTAGAAAACATACCCCACAAAATAATTCACATTGGCAGTAACACAATATATAACTTGCTCATCAAACTCTGTAGCACTTAAAAATTCTGGTTATGCACCTTTTTAATTTAATCAACATAAAGTACAATTCATCCTGTTAAATTCATAATACACATTTCACACATTATAACTGGTAATTATATATGTTGTACTCATCTCACATTGACCCCCAAAGAAACTACAGGAAATCAATTCCCCTTTTCCATAGCTAGTTTGTTAAAATCTGTCCAAATCTGCTTCCATTTTCACAAGTTGAGAATGCATTTTCACTTCTTTCCAAATGAGATGAACTGAAGTATTTTACTAGTGATATAATTATGTTATGAAATACAATAATTTTGTATGAGAGTACTCTATATCAAAAACAGAATGATCTTAAGAGTATATGCAACCTTATAGTTACTCAAAAAAAAAAAATCCTCAAACAAAAAGAGTTTGAAAAAGGAATGCCAATTTGGATTAATTAATTAATGTAACCTGTTAAAGGTGCTCAAGAATAAATACAATAGTAATTCTCATTTAACCTTACTGATGTACCTTATATGCACATGGTAAATCCCAAGCTGTATTCCTACAGAAGATGGGGATAAAGAGCCTTAAAATTGGGCCTGATCTTATCCATTGTAATGAGTTAAGATGTATGATGAATGGATAATAATATCATTTGTCCCTTTCTATATAATTCACAAATGACTCTAAAATAGTATTGTAGATTCCGGACAAAACAACCATGTTATCCTACCTAATGAAATGCCACTGGAATGCTTTAATATACATGTACACACAAATCAAATGAAGAGGTACTGTCACTAACAAATTAACTCATCCAACACTTCTATGTGTGTATATACGTAATACAACTCCTCGCAAAATCACCCATTGACACTATATATATATCTACAGTATCACTCCCTGACACTGCCTACCACTGGTGGTTCATTTGAGATTTATTTCTGTTAAACTTCAGCACATATAACATGAATCCTTGGAAGGACTTTCTTTTACACTCAAAACAAAGTTTCATGGTGTGAGGTGTTAAGTTTGCATACTGATAATCATGGTTTTTGATGTTTTATGACCAAGAAATGTAAGCATGTTACGAAAATTTTACGTAATACTGTATTATATGATTCCTGATGTTTTCTACATGGATGTCTTTTTCTATTTTCTTCACTGGGAACTTATACACAAAACTGGCAGTTACACAAAAATTGACCATTTGACAGTTATTTAGACAGAACACAGTGGCAGGTTCAAGGGGAATTCAGAGAGTTTCAGGAAACTTCCTCCAACCTGTCAGTGTAGGAAAACATCCAGACCTGACACTAGATCTGCCACAAATTACTGCTTACTTCATCAGATCAAACAGAACCCTACTTTCTACCAAAATGGGGTGTAAGTTTTTCATATTCAAAACAAATATTATTTAGATGACCTGGTAAGGTCACCACTTTAATGGAAGATCATCACGATCTCTGATGGTACCAAGTCATTGAAGATTTATCATTCCAGCGAAGACAACATCAGAAGTTGTTTTAATACTTTCGTCTGACTCGTTTCTCGGATTTCTCCTGCAAGGAACATTTCATCTACAACACTGTAGACCTGTGAAAAAGAAGACCAAATATTAATTACTGAACTATAACTATATACTATTTATGATATAATCTGATATTTTAGTAAAACTTAATCAAAAGGAAATTTATCTATTGCATAATTTAATAAATATATTTGATACAGATCAGCCCTGCATGCTACAGAGTGGGAGGTACAGACCGGGAGGGTGTACCAGTAACACAATGCGTCATTAGTAGTCGTAGACTAATGCTATGACATCGACAAAGTTGATTAAATGATGAGTTAAAGGGAAGAATTTCAAACTTTATAAGATAAGACTTCTGTTTTGCAGACATCAGTATTTCTGCACATTTCAAAATTGAAAGGATATAATTTATTTTCAGGACTCTTATATACCAGATAACAAGGATCCACCATACCCTCATACTGCTATTAAACGACACTTAGTGTACTCACCTTATAAAAGTTAAACACTAGATCTAATTCACAGACATTGTGGAAGTATTCATTTAAAACTTCTACAAAATTGTGAATAGCTTCTAGATACATTAGGTTGTTATCGCTGACGTCCACACATATGCAGAAGTATAACCCAGCATATCGCCTGTACACAATCTTGAAATTCCGGAACTGAAAAAAATGGTTGAAATTGAAAATCACACATCAATATCTACAACTATTCACATAAATCTCACACTTTATCATTTCAACAAATATATCCTGAATTATGGACATTTTCTTGCTGTACTCCAAATATGATCTTATTAAGTCCTGTTTCGTGGGCTTGCTGTTTAATTTTAGCAGGAACATATATATTTTTAAGCTACCAAATAATGACAATTCTGATAAGCTCTTACATTTATTAGCTCACCTGGCCCAAAGGGCCAAGTGAGCTTATGCCGTGGTGCGGTGTCCGTTCATCGTCTGTTGTCTGTCCAGTGCGTCAACTTTTTACTTTAAACAACTTCTGAATAACCAAGAGGCCCAGGCTGATGATATTTGGCCAGTAGCATGCTGGGATGAAGGGCTACCAAATTGTTCAAATGGATGACCTTTGTCCATTTTCAAGGTCACAGGGTCAAATATTGTAAATTCTATCAACAACTTCTTCTGAATAACCATAAGGCCCAGGGTGATGATATTTGGCCAGGGACATGCTGGGATGAAAGGCTACCAAGTTTGTTCAATTGAATGACCTTGACTTATATTCAAGGTCACAGGGGATCAAATATGTTTAAAACTTTTAAAAGTACTTCTATTGAATAACCAGAAGGCCTAAGGTGTTGATTTTTGGCCAATATCATGCTGGGATGAAGGGCTACCAAGTTTGTTCAAATGAATGACCTTGACTTATATTCAAGGCCACAGGGGACAAATATGTTTTAAACCTTTACACAACTTCTTCTTAATAACCAAGAGGTCTAGAATGATATTTTGTCAGTAGCATGCTGGGATGAAGGGCTACAAAGTTTATTCAAATGAATGACCCAGACTTATTTTCAAGGTCACAGGGGACAAATATGTGTGAAACCTTTAAAATTCTGCTGAATAACCAAGAGGTCTAGGGTAATTATATTTAGCCAATAGCATGCTGGGATAAATGACCTTGACATATATTGAAGGTCACAGGGGACAAATATGTGTAAAACCTTTAAACAACTACTTCTGAATTACCAGAAGGCCTAGGGTGTTGAATTTTGGCCAGTATCATGCTGGGATGAAGAGCTACTAAGTTTGTTCAAATGAATGACCTTGACATATATTCAAGGTCACAGTGGACAAATATGTTTAAAACCTTTACATAACTTCTTCTGGCTAACCAAACAGCATAGGATGATGATATTTAGTCAGTAGCATGCTGGGCTAAAGGGCTACCATGTTTGTTTTAATAAATGACCTTGACTTATATTCAAGGTAACAGTGGTCAAATAAATGTAAAACCTTCATACAACTTCTTCTGAATAACCAAGAGGCCAAGGATGATGATATTTGGCCAGTAACATGCTGAGATGAAGGGCTACCAAGTTTATTCAAATGAATGCCCTTGACTTATATTAAAGGTCACATGGGTCAAATATGTGTCAAACCTTTGAACAACTTCTTCTGAATGACCATGAGGCCTAGGGTAATGATATTTGGCCAGTAACATGCTTGGTAGCCTTTCATGCCAGTATGTGATTGGCCAAAAATGATCATCCTGGGCCTTCTGGTTATTCAGAAGAAGTTTAAAGATTTTAGCATATTTGACCCCTGGGACCTTGAAAATGGGCGAAGGTCATTCATTTAAAGAAAGTTGAAAGTCCTTCTTCACAGCACGCTACTGACAAAATATCATCATCCTAGGCCGTGCGGTTATTCAGAAGAAGTTGTGTAAAGGTTTAAAACGTATATGTCCCCTGTGAACTTGAATATTAAATTGAGAAGAAGTTGTTTAAATTAAAAAGTTGATGCCGGACAGGCGGAGGATGGATGCCGCAACATGATGGCATAAGCTCAATTGGCCCTTTGGGCCAGGTGAGCTAAAACACAAGGAATATTATATTTCCTGCATTAACATCTCTGAGGATCAAGTTATTTTTTAACAGCACTCACAATTTATACTATAGTCAGGACAACAACGTTACATACCTCAACAAAGTTTGTGTGTTTTGCATCCCTCACAGTGACCACAGCATGCACCTCCTCAATAAGTTTCTGTTTCTCATCATCATCAAAGTGCATGTACCACTTGGCAAGGCGCGTTTTGCCTGCCCTGTTCTGTATCAGTATAAACTTGATCTGCAAGTAAGACATATCACATGATAAATGATATCAATTGCATTTTATCAATGCTTTAAACTGTTGTCAATTCTAATATTAATGTTAACTGACCAAAATTAAATACTTGGGTTAACAATGTAATTATTACATTGTGGAAGCACAGAAGTCCAGTGGTAGGATGCCGGGCTCGTGACCTAAGGGTTGTGTGTTCAAGTCAGGTAACGGCACTGTGTTGTATTGAACAAGATACTTTACTCCGCTTGTTCCAGTCTACTTAGCTGTAAATGAGTACCGGTATGTGGTTTGGCAATGCTAGAATTTTTGAATGGTAGTTGTGAGTGCTGAAATGGCAGCATCGCCTGTTACTCCGCTTTGAGATGACTTATATGAACTAGGTTATGAACTTGTGATAAAGCGGTATATAAGAACCTCAAATTATTATTATTATATTTTTTTTTACAGCTTACATATAATTAACTAGTCAATTGGCAAGGGCGCGTCTAATTACCCAATACTACCCAATACCACCCAATACTACCCAATATCACCCAATTCTACCCAATACTACCCCATACGATCCAGTTATGAACCAAATACTTCTTTATTACTGTGAAATATCACCTTTGTAGACGTTATTTACTTCCATATGCCATATTTTATCGGGAAATATGCGATTTGGTGCCGAAAACATCACCGAATTGCCGTGACTATGACCCAATACTACCCCATACCACGGAATTAGATTAGATCTAAGTCCGTGCCCATACCACCCAATACTACCCAATACCACCCAATACTACCCCATACGACCAAGTTATGAACCAAATACTTCTTTATTACTGTGAAATGTCACAGTTATTTACTTCTATATGTCACATTCTATCTGGAAATATGCGATTTGGTGCAGAAAACATCACCGAAATGCCGTGAC